CCTCAGGTTTCGTGGACAAGACCAAAACGTTATTCCAGGAAGATGGAGCACCGTGTCACACTGTTAGAAACACCCAAAAGTGTCAGGAAGAAAATGGCATCCAGAAGTTGCCCTGACTGAGCCAATCTCCTGACATGAACCCCAACGAAAACCTATGGGCCATACTCGACCGGCAAGTCAAGAAACAACCAAAAAACCAACTTCGAAGAGCAATCTACTCCAAGTTTTGAAGCAAGAGTGGGCAAAAATCCCACAATCTGAAATTGACGAGATGATTCTCACGATGCCCCAAAGGATCAATGAACTCCAGTGAAAGGAAGATGTACTAGATATTAATTAAGTTATAAATATATCAATTCATGTGAATATCACTGAAAAATTTCATTTTTTCTGAAAAGGTGGTGTCTATTTACTTGTGACCATGCTGTGTATATATACACACAAGGCAAAACATTATACATATAGGTGACTGTATAAATAAGTCCTATATAGTTGGGAATTACAATTTTTGATAATTGTACAATACTGATTACTTTATATAATTCCCTAAAAGGGCTAATTCACTCACTGTACGCTTCATATGCACTTGGTATAAAAAATATAATGTACTTGAAACCAGAGTTTTAGTTCAGTATATAGAATCCTATTTTGCTATTTGGCAATGCTATTTAACCCTAAAATACCAGAATTTATAAATGGGAAGCACCAATGGTTTGTTTTATTGGAATTAAAAAAGATAAAATTGTTTGAAACTGTAGATGAACTTTTCCACAGATAATGTAGCTTCTATAAAATAAAATGTTATTTTTATATGCTATATTTGTATGAATATCTAGCTTTCAAAATTCAAAATATTTGTTTGTTAAATGTTTTTTCTAAATTACAAATGCTTACCCTTGCTGTATGTTTGAATTATTGATTTTTATATCTTCCTACATTCTTAATGTTTTCCAATAAAGTTTTATTCTACCGTAAATTTGTCTATATTTTGATTCAAAAAATATCACATGCAGCATCACTGTGTTTATAATCACTGATGTACAACAAAAACAGCTTTTTTACCATGCCAGTATTATAAGCAAGCCATTTTTTACAATTATTATTAATTAAAAGTTTTTATTTGACATATTTAATAAGTGTTAATCCTACTTATATATGTATTTAAACAAACAATTAGTGTTTTTTTTGTCTACTCAAGCAGCTATTTAAGCTGATAAAGCCTAATGTGAATTCAGCTTAAAAATTAGCAATCTTGTCAGTGAAATGAAAGTTGATATGGTTGAGTACAAAATGATGTAACTAAGCCTAACAATAGCCTGATCTTGTTCGACAAAAGAAATTTCCTATCATCCTGTAATATCATTATTCAAATGAAATATAAAATGAAAAAGCAAGCTTGAAAAAAAATCAAGACTGTAAATATGGCCAAAGTTCTTTACAAAAATATTAGCAAGCTAAGCTTTTTTTTTTCTTTTGTTCTGATCTTTACACAAGTCTCTATTGAAGTGGAAGCTGTACTGGCTTACACAGTAGAAAAGAACAGTAAATGACCTTTTGTTATATGTTTAGGTCACTAACCTATGCCTATTTAAAGTTGAGGTATAAACAATTTACATAATACCATGACAACCGAGGTTGACAAACAGTGGTTAGCTAAAATCAATAAAAACAGACTTTTATTAAAATAATAAGGTTCAAATTGCCATCATTTGGTTCAAAATATTTTGAATTTTCTATTAGAGGGTATGAGTGCCATAAGAAGCTCAGAAAAAATTCAGGAAATTCATTACACTAATGTTTTCAATAGGAGCTCCCTGAAATCAACCCAAAATTAAAATAAAAAATATGTATAAAGTTATATAAATACAACTTTTTATTGAATAAGTTTCAATTCTGAAGGTTCTAAACAAAAGTAATGCAAAATGAAGAGTTATATTCATTATTACAAGGTCTTGTTTTATTTCCCCACTTAGCTATAATGTGACTGTTGTATTAAGTTATCATTAATAAAATCAAATGCAAGATCTTATAATTTGTGCATTTTTGAAAAAAATGAAATCCATTCAATGCTTTGGTAATTGGTGGGTTACCTGTTGTTCTTTCACTGAATGAAAGAAATGTACAAAAATAAACATAAATTTGTGGTCCTTCATCCACAAAAACTAAAAACTCGCATTATAGCTAAATGGCTGGTAAAAAAAATAAAAATAAAAGAACTTTGTAATAAATTCTTATAGGAGTTACTTGAAACATTACTAACTTTTGGCATGTACACACATATTTTATATACATACATGTATGTACGCAATGCATGACACTAAATATAAAACATATTTTATCATATACAGTAGTGAATTTACATATCACTGTTAAACACTGGGGGCTTTCTTTTTTAAATTAAGATAATTGGTAAGAAATTCTAATAAAAATTCAATGAAACAATATTTTACCTTGTAAGTTATTTTCCAGTTCATTAGTTATCTTTGGTCTTAGCTGTAATATTTTATAAACATTATGACAATGTTTTATGTATAAACTAAACTTTCTGAAGCCATTTCTTATTCTACAAGCAATGACAAAATGTGGCCTTGCAGGTAAGATTAGGAAATAAGTAAGAAACGAAAAAGCACAATAATTCATGCATGGCTAAGAAACATTCCTCACCTTTGAATGAAGTTCATTCCTCTCAGCTTCCAATCTCTCAATAGTTTCTTTGTCGTTTTGTGCTTGCATTTCTAATACTTTGACTTTCTCTTCTCTAAAAAAATAAATTAATATACTTGAGTTCACCTAAAATTTTTTATTTAGTTTAAACACTATATATTTGCATTAGTACTACTCTAAGAATGTCATTACTATTGGAAATGTCCAAAAACACCTTAGTATGAATGTTATGAATTTACTTATTTTAAACCCTTCTACTCCAGTTATTTAGCTATTTACAAAAGGCTCTAGTTTCAAAGTAATAATTAGAAACTTAGGAACTCAAAGATAAACAAACTTAAAATGATGAATTGGTAGCTTTAAAACTGACGGCAATAAAAAAAAAAAGAACTTTTACCCTTCATAATGTAAAATTTAAAGCTTCAAAAATGTCGAAGATTGAAACTGATTTTATACACACATACTGCACATGAACTTTGTCATAAAAACAAGATAGTTACAAAACTATAAAGCTGTTTCCCAAATATTTCTATGTTTAGATGCAAAAAGACATGTCATAAATATCAGTTAATAACACTAAACATGAAGAATAAAGTGGCCCATATCATAAGAATTATTTCTTTCAATTACAAATATGCAAAGGAATACTGTTCAAGTTTACAAAGTTTATAAGAAAACAAATATTCGGATATTAATGACTTTGGCTAAATATGCTTGAACTGTGATTCACCTTTATAGAACTGACACTTTCTGTTCTCAAACATGCTGGTTTAGATAGCAATGAGGTAAATGATTTCCCTACAAAATTAAGCTTTTGAATGAGATAAAAAATGGATTAAGATTCTCATTAGTACAGAAGTCCACCGGAAAATTGTGCATAGATTAAAATAAGGCTTACTGATTTAAAATTGTTCAGATATTACATTTACATGTGCTACTGATTTCTTTTTAACTACCTCCATTCAGATTATCAAAAAAGATTTTATATTCTTGTAGTGTGTGTTCTTTACATTTTAATGTAACTTTTAAGAAGAGTACTAAGTCAAATTATTGTCAAAACTTCATGACTTTATTTACAGTTAAAACTAAAATTATGCAAGTATTGGGTCATTTCTACAGAAACACAGTGATTAAGATTTATGTACAATATACATTATTTGTTACCAGGTAAGAAAACTTGTTCCAAGAGTGTAATTTCTGTTTATAAAAGTTCCCTAATTTGAAGAAATCATGCTTCATTTTTTCATATTTAAAAAGGGAGCTGAAACATTGATGGAGGATCCTGTATTAAACTATGGATGATGGCTTGTTATCTAAAAACACTTCATTGAATATTATATTTCTAAAACAATATATCAAAATGAGATAAAGTAGTTATCAAGAAGTATATTAATTTCAAGATGTAAATGTAAATTTTCTTTTCATCTGTATTAAAATACTATAAATATATGAAAGAACATGGAAAAAATATTTTTTCAAGACTTATAATCAGATCTTGAAAAACCTGTGAAACTTAATGCCACTTAAACTGGAGTATTATGCAAACATTCGGGAAGATATTACTCCTCTGCAACTTCTATATCTATGAACATTATATCATAAAATGTTTACTTTTCTGGGAACATAGTGAATATTACAATTAATTTTATTCATGATGTTAGAAAAAGATGTAGGTCCAATAAATAAATTTAACACGTCCACCTTTCAAAAGTGCTTGAGTTATAGGTTATCGTATCTTTGTGTTAAATTGATTTCTTGAACCTATGTGTTTTTTCTAACACCATGAATGTATCTCCACATAAGGAACGTGTACCCAATTCCGGTAAGTAAACTCTTCTAATTCCTAACATAGGTATTTTAGGTGACTCTATGCTCAAATATCTACACAAACACTTAATATTTATTAATGGACACCTTATCCTTTTGAAATCCATCAGTGATGCTAAAATAAATGATGCTGTATCTATGACCATTTCCCTTCCTGAATCTATCCAATTTCTGATAATTCATTTTGGAACTAATGATCTGAAACAGGCCAATAAGACTGCTGATGACTGCTTTTCAGAGCTCCAAAACACAATAGCCTATATCTTTAGCCTAAGACCATACATTAAACTGGCTATCTCTAGAGTAGTCCATAAACATGCAAACACACACCTTTCAACAGATGATTTCAACACACAAAGCACCACACCAATAACACAATGAAGTTCAATATTTTAACAAATTAACCAAAATCCTTTGTAAACTCAACACTCAACTTGCCTTTATTAACCACACAAACCTAATACCACCCACTGATTTTCTCACACATGATGTACTTCACCTCAACTTTTCTGGAATCTTTATCTTGACTTCAAACTTCAAATACTTTATCTCTTGCTGTATTCTCCCAGTCTTGTCTTCCAAGTCACCCTAACTATCTCACTTTGCTATTTCTATCCAGACTCTACATCCCCTCCTTTCTCACACTCTAGTGCGTCTGTCACTCAATCTTTTCATCTAACAATTCATTCATTCTCTCACAGTGAGCTTCCAGTCTCAGTTGGTTCTGCTAATGAACTCAACACAAATCACACTTTCCTGCCAACATAAAGTTCCACCAATAAAAACATTCATTCTTCTGTTGTTAACTCTTCCCTACTCACAAACCCTTCATCTTCCTTCTCTTCAAAACTACACAAAACATATGCTAGTGCAAATACTGCATGTTCTATGTTACAATCTTTGTCAGTCAACCGTGCCATCATTTCTCCTGCAGAGTTCCAAATACAAAGTCTATAGTATTTTTACTCAAATTACCAATACTGGAAAGCTGGAATATAAGATAAGAACTTCCTATCTTTTCTCATTTCTGAGATATTAATATATTTATTGAATTAACCAAGGTGGCCCCACCCACCTCTTAAATTTTTTTAAATACTTGCTTACCTACACCTACTTTGCCCAATGACGTGTGTATAACTAATCCCAATGAGGGAAAATCTAGAACAGAAGCAGAAACAGTAAATCTTCTGCAACCCACAACACAGAAGACAAGTCAAGCGGGGAAGATGGACAACCCAAAACCTATGTGAGGACTTATGTGATTGGTTCACTTGATCTCCAAAACCAACATTCATATGAAGGAAGGAGGAGGGCACCCAATTGGAGGAGTGAACTGCATTTGGGCATCTCAACTCTGGGAAATAGTTACTCATCCGAGGGATCTTGTAACTCTCTCTACACCAGCAGAACACCACCACCCTACTCTGAACTAAATGGTTATAGCCATCTTTGTGGAATGCATCCAGCAGGTTGCCTCCATGGTCTACCATCCTAGCAGCTTGAGCTTCCTTACTCCACTGGAAGAAAGAGGGGGGAAAATGTGGTGGAGAGTCTGACAACAACCTAGACAGTGCAATGGGTGATCATGAAACCCTATTTTTCAAAGTAGACCACACCAATTTATTCAATCTAGGCTTGTCAGGGATGGGCAGCAATCCCCTTCTGCTTTACCAATGCTGTCCATGGGTGGTACAGTCTGGCATGGCATATCACAAGGAATTTAAATTCTAGTGATCTTGTGAAACACCCATCTCAAGGATGAGTGTACATAGCCATGGAAAATGTATAAGAATCAACATGGCTTACAGTGCAGATTTGATAGCAAGATGTCTGTGAATGGTTATAGCCTTCTAAGTGAAACTCATTTGGACTACAGACAGAGTACCTGGTCAGGCAACACTCGTCACAGAGTGGGATCCAAAGTGAAGCTGAAGCAGGAGCCCCTGAAAGAAAAGAAAGCATCAGTAAAGACTTACCTTGTGTCACAGCCACGCTGAGGTCTGTAGAATAGCCACAGGTGGCAGGCAATACCCAGAGGAAGCAGAAACAGTGATGTGGTGTAGGTAGAAGGAGTCAACATGTGTGGAGTCATCCACATGCTCAATCGTAGAATCTCCTCCAATGGCCGACAAAGACAGAGGCAAGGGAGAACATAAGGTGACAGATTTGATGTGAGAAAACATGAAAGAGATCACACTGGGAAGGAGACAAGGAGGAATAGGCCAACTGGATCAAACATCGAACCCAGTTGGTCAGGGTAACCGAGGAAAGATCACGAGAAAAGGAAGGTTGCCAAGTGATAAAAAGGATGGGAACGAGGACCCAAAAAGAAAGCCGTGCTAGCAATATAACAATGGACGGCATGGACAGGATAGAGGAGTCTATCCGAATCAGGATGAGGGTAGAGATGAGATATAGAGGATAGGGGAAAAGGAGGACTGACCTTCTTGAGCTGCAGAGGTCTTAGGAAGGAAAGTACGATCCAGATAAAGGATAAAGTAGAAGTGATACAAGGTCCGGGTAACGTTGAAGAAAAAATATCCGAACTAAGATGTCCACAGGCTAGAAGCAGGAGGAAATATAAACAGGGAACATGTAGACAGAGGTTAGAATGGAGATAAAGTGAGGGCATGAAGGAACATATTAATGTCCCAGTCCGGGAGCAAGGGACAACACGGTGGTCAATGGAACCAGAAGGAATGAATCAATATGGAAAGGACAGGGGAAGCAAAGACCCTGCAGAAATGAGAAAAAGGAGGTATGGGATAATGCCACCCCAAAATCAAGGAGACTGAAGAACCCCTCTCAAAGAGCTACATGAGAAACTCAGAGATACAGGCAACGTTGGGTGAGAAGCCCTGAAACCTCAAGTCAATGCCCAGGAGTGATAAATATTCCACTTGTGTTGATAGATGGCCAAAGAAGAAGGGCAAATGGAACAAGCTAAATATGAAGTTACTATGCGAGAGAAACCAGAACTCTTCACCGGGAATCTAACAAAAGCCAGGCATTAAGACAGAGAACAGATGGTGTGAGATTGAGCACTAGTGACTGGTATTGACAGAGCAAGTTGGGATAGAAAGGAAGAGGAGGGATCACCTGCAGTTGGAACAAATGAGGGAACAAGGGTTGAGCAGGATAGTAAGGAGCAATCAGAAGGAACACGCATGGAGTGGCATGTATGAGGGAGACCACCCAATGGAGTAAATGGATGGGAGGGTAAACATAAAGGAACAGATTAGACCAATCCTGGTTGAAGGCATTGACAGCCAAGGCTTGAGGATGGGGAATTTGGGACCGAGGTAATTTGTGATTGAGGGTGGTGGCAAAGCCATTCGTATGGGGCATACCCAGATGCAGATAGATCCACCGAAAAATGACAGGAGGCAGGGACCACTCTGTGGGAGAAATGCAATACGGAAGGGAAAGATGATCAGTTACGAGATTGAAAGTACCCAGTACATGACACATCATCAAATGAATGCAATGTGTGTGGGTTTACTAAAGAAAATCCACAGTGCAAAAACACAGGGATCTGGAATTAGTGCCACCATGGTAGAATTGTTGGAATGGATCATAACCAGCCAGCCACTGGCAAGAGAAAGAAAATGATCCAAAGCCTGATGAACAGCCAGGAGTTTGAGAACACTGTTGTGAAGGGTATAGTATTCTCCTCCACAAACCAATAACCTGAAACCTCCTGGTGATCCACCCAGGCACTCCAGCCCTTAAGGGATGCATCTATGAACAGATGTAAATCTGGCCACAGAAGAGGGAGCGGGACCCCTGCCGACGTGTGGGCCCTGTTCAATCACCAATGGAGATCATCTACAAGGGATTAGGGAAGGGATATAGAAGCATCCAAGGGATCCCAGGCAAGGTTCCATTTATCGTGAAGGACTAATTAAAGAATCTGCATATGGACCCTGCCCAGGGGTATGAGAGGGTCATGGAGGATCGCATCCCAAAAGCGATAGAACCTCGCGAGCTGTAAGTGAGAGAACAGCCCACTCCATAGAATCGAGTCAGAGAGGTGAAGGTTGGGCCAGACTGAGAAGGATGTTGAAGACAACACCCAAGTGGATGAGGTATTGGGTAAGTTGAAGACTTCTCCAATTTGACCAACCAGCCCACCCACACAGCTTTGGTCAGGAGCTGACAAGTGTGATAGGCCGATTCCAGTTCCAAATGAGCAAAAAGAAGCCAGTTGTCCATATAAACATAAAAGTGCAATCCCATGGCATGAATATGCTGAGCAAAGGAGCAGACCACATGACAAAACATGTATGGTGATGAGGCTAGGCTGAAAGGTAAGGTGTGAAACTGGTACACAACGTTCCACCACAGGAATGTGTAGGTAAGCATTGGAAACATCTACCTTAGTCATCCAAAGACCTGGAGAAAATGACCACCAAAGAGAAAGGTATGTCTCCATGGTAAAGCGAAGAGTGTGAACATACTGATTGAAATGGGATAAGTCAATGACAGAATGCCAGTCTTCTTGGGAACCACAAACAGGCAGGAGTAAAAACCCTGTGTATCTGGTGAAACTGGTTCGATAGCCTGTTGTGCGATGAGGCCCTGAACTGCCTCTGACAGACACGCTGGCATGTTGAGGGATCCCATGGAGAAGGAAAGGTAACGGGAACATGGGAGGAAGGGATAGAAAAGGGATAATGTATCCCTCTTAGACCACTCTGCAAACCCAGAAATCAGCGACAAAAAGCCCCCACCAATGAACGAAATTCAAGAGACGAGTCCCCACTGAGCCTGAACCGACAATGTAGTCAACGTTACTGCTGTTGGCAGATTGTACATCATCAAGTAAAACATCCAGCTATGGCACTGCGGGAGGGTGGGATAGAGGTTGGTAAGGGGAAAGTCAGGGACAGGAACCGGTGCTGTGCTCGGCCCCGACAGCGACAAATGACAAAAGTTAGTAAGGGTAGAATGTTGATGGGCCAAGGCCACCCACAACTCCAATGACTCACGAACCAAGTTAAACACATAACCCCGCAGGAACTGCACCATGTGGAGGTCCCTAAGATAAGGAGCCTGGAGACGGGTCCATGCCCAAACCACGTCACGGCCGAAGAGGTATCAACAACACACAAACCACGTTTGAGAGCCAAAGACAACAGACGAACCAACGTAGAACTAAGAATGGAAAAAATTTCAGCAGAAAATCCCTTAGGGTTCCTGTGAAGATCCTCTGACAGAAGGTGAAGGTAGGAAAGGTACCTTAACAGGGTCATGAGGCATACTAATGCCCTCCTGATGATATATCCCCCAACAGGTCAACCATGGCTGAAAATACGGCATCAGATGCTGGCAAAATATCTGAAGTGGTGACTGTAAGTTTGGAATTCATAAATGAGAAAAAGCTGCAAACATGAGGAAGTAATGCTTTAATGAAAATATTAACTACACAACTATGAAGTGTAATACATAAAGTGAAGAAAAATAAAAAAAATAAACCACTTCAAGGTAACTGAACAATGTATGAAAGAATGTCTGAACTCAACAGCTGCCAAACAAGAAGTGATAGTTCGGTAGTGGTGCATAGAGGGAGTCACATGCATCACATGATAGTATTGCTCTCCTGTTGGTGGAGAGGTGATTCATGATGATTTGCATAAGAGGCGTGTTGGAACTTCGGATTTCAACAGAGGGATGATGAAGGCTTGTGAAATGCAACACAAAACGAGAATAGCTAATACTGTGAAAAGAGGGAGTGTACCTTATCGGAAACCAGCCTTTTACCAATAACATCTATTCAAAAACCGCTTCCAACAGCACTTTTTTTAAACCCTTCTCTTTATGATAAAGAATTTACCATAGTAGCAAGCACTCTACCAGATACTATCAAAACCTCTCTGAAAGAAATACCTAAAAACACTTCATCCTCTACTAGCAATGAGCTCTCTCAAATTGTCACACCTGTAAAAAATAAGTGACCTCACAAATTCTAAAGTAATAGTGAACTCTTTCCACATGTCTCCATCATAATTAATATTTTAAACATAGCTCTTTCATATGCAGAACTCAGTATCCTTATTAAAGGTTTCAACTTCTGTCCAAACAACTACTTTGTTAATGAACCCAAATTTCTATCTGACCAACACAAATTTTCTCATAAATTAAGACTTTGCAAATTGTTTCACAACAAATTTCACCCTAGAAACAATCGACCTACACCTATATTCCATGAAAAGACCTCTTGGACACCTACACCAAACAGAAAAACACACTTAGAGAGTTATATTAAAGCTGTAAAAAATGACATAGTTCAAACCTTAAAACCTTACAAGCAATGTCACAATAATCTAAACCAAAAAGAGAAAACTGCTCTGAAAGATCTTAAGTCAAACAACATTAAACAAACCAGCAGATAAAGGTGGGGCTGTGTTATTCTTAACAAAGATGACTATATCGCTGAAGCTAACTGCCAACTTGAGGACACTAATTTCTACAAGAAACTTACACAGAACCCTACAACTCAGTTTACTAAAACCATCAGTGATAAACTTAAAGAACTTCTCCATAAGAAGAATATTAATAAAGAAACTTTCCAGCACTTGATACCCAGATAGGCTTGTCCAGATAGATTTTATCTTTTACTAAAAACTCACAAACCTAATAATCCCAGCTGACCCATATTTTCTAACAGAAACATGGCAACTGAGGAGCTGTCTGCTTTTGTCGACCACCACATAAAAAGTATTCCTTGTACTCTCCCTTTTCACATAAAGGACATGACTCACTTTCTTAATATCATAGAGAAAATCAATACCAACAAACATTTACAGCCTTCTGTGTACAATGGATGTTTCTTCCCTTTACACAAATATTCCACATGATGAAAGATTTGAAATTCTGAAATCTGCTCTAACCTTTTATAGCCCACCAGAATATCAAACAGTAACTGATCTTGCCAGCTTTGTCTTTATCTATAAACAACTTCAAACTAAATAATAAGCATTACCTTCAGGTTAACTGTACTTTAATGGATATCAAAATGGCTCCTAACTATGCCAATATATTTATGGGTCATACTGAAATTAGATTTTACCAAAAATTCCCATAAAACCTCAAACATGGAAATGTTACATATATGACATATTTTTCACTTGGACAGTCAGTTCCGAATCATTTTACTTCTTATGCCAGTACCTTTCATAAACCAATCAAGATAACCCTTGATTACTTCCATAACCAAATTAACTTTCCCAATGTCACTGTCTTTTTAAAAAATGGAATATTACACACCGATTTGTACAGTACACCTATAGACAGACCACAATATCTTCACTATAAAAGCTGCCACTCTACTCACACTACATGAAATATTATCTACAGTAAAGATCTCAGAATAAAAAAATCTAATCAGATGAAACAAATTACAGAAAACACACCAAGAATCTTAAACAAACCATGTTACGAAGAGGATATAAAGATACCATAACTGACAGACAAATTGAAAGAGCTAACAACACTCAATGAGAAACAATCCTTAAGCAGTATAAGATTAAAGTTTCAAATAGAATTCCTCTTGTTATTACCTATCACTTTAAACTCAGAAACATTTTTCACATTCTGAAAAAACATTTTCATCTATTACAACCAAATGGTTGCCTTAGATAAATATTTCCTGAAGTTCCCACAATTCTTTTTTTTTGTTAGTGAAAAATAAATTACAAAAGATTGCTCTGTAAGATGTGCAACAGTGACCCTTGACAAACTCTAGTAAAACGAAATTCATCATCAACACAGGTTGAGTACAGTTAACAGTACACTGTCTTAAAGTAATCACTGTATATTAACCCCTTACTTTCCATACAGGTACTTGGTAAACCAGCTATTTCTATTCCCAGGGACCATATGAGCACAATACAATATGCATTTTTCACACTGAATACAATGAGACTGTTTGAAAGACCTTTCTTTAATAAAATATACATAAATAAATCAAATATAAAATTTCTGATATTTTGTTAAACTTATCATTTTCCCTGGTTCCTGGGAATACAAAATGTCTGGTCACAAAAAAGGTTAAACATACTTATATATTGAAATAAGGTCTGTTATTTGAGTAGTTGTTTTAAAATTACATTAGTTTATAATATACAGAACAAATTTTATTATTTGTCCATTTTTTTGTAAAAATTTGGTAAAATGTCTTTGAAAGATTACATATTATAAGAGCTAAAAAATACACAAAAATATTAATTTATAATTAAATGTTTTTACTTTGTTTGAGCCAATCGAAGATTTTCCTGTAGTTGAGATTCTTTTTCCCATATCTGACTAGTAAGGTCATCATTGGCACTGCACTACAAATAAAAATATATGCGAGCATAGCATATACAGATAAAATGTTACAAATCAAATTGTAAAAAACGAAAATGTTACAAGCTATTCATTAGTAAATATCACTTGTTCAATGACATAGAATAGAAATAAACTACTAATAAGAGTTTGACAATTAAGTTAATATATTTATTTTATGGATAATCAAATAAAAGAACTCATGGAAATCATTTTTACTTTTATTTATTGTGATTTCTATTTCAGTGGGCAAAGATATCTTTTAATTATAAAGCAGAAAACTACCAAGTATTCAAACTGCAAGATTTAATACAAAAAATGAAAGTCAATTCCATAATACTCAAGATGTGTCACAAATTGCATGATAACTGTTACAAAAGGTTAATACAAAGTATGTTTTAAACTTATATTTGCCGGTTAGCACTATTAGCTTCATCACATTAAAAAAAACAACCCACACTAAAAAAAGTGCTAATTTTATTACAGCAAAGGAGCTTTTAAATTACCAGAGACAAATAATTTGCCATGTATAAATATAAAAAGGAAACAGCTTGTTTCAAAATGAAAACTTTTTTATATTTTTAAGTGAATTCTTTTTCTCAGTGTTAAATGCAACTCAACAGTTAATACATTAGGAGAACATAAAGATCTGACATTTTTGACCATTATGGATATTTTGAACTTTTACATTGATGTATTGTTGAAATTAAAAGCTATAAAAAACTTGAGAAATTTTGTCTAAACATGAGTACTGAAACAAATATACATGTATATTAAAAACTAAAATTTGTTGTAATAAAAGTCCTACAAAAGAACTGATGCCCATCACTAAAAAATCTCTGTTTAAAAATTATAATTTCTGTAAATTAGCTTTGGAAATTGGTTGAAACTATACAAAGATGTTAAAATTCTTGCAATTTTCCATATTTAATGAAGGCTTTTAACAAATTTGTAGCAAAGCCAATGTAAACTAAGACCTCATATAGTTTTCTATTGACAAATTAATAAAGTATTAAAAATTCTATTCATATATTGTTGTTTAGTCATTTTCATTTAGCAGAAATTCCAATTAGTGAAATGATTAAACGACATCCACAAAAAACTGACAATTATTTTATAACAACTCAACTCATAACTTTGACGATAAAAGTAAAAAACTTACATTTTGTTTAGGCATAACATATTTCTTTTTTCAAAAACAAACATTTATGAAGATTACTCTAAGTCTGCTCATTAAACTTACAGTTACATTTGTATTTTACAATTTAGACTTATTAATCTACACTTATGTCAGCACATAACCAAATCTAAAAAATTCTCAAGGTACAAATATTTTGCTTTATAGCATGTTTGAAATGAAACAGCTTTTAATTTAGCAGCTTGGAAAGCACACAAAAAAAAACACTAGTAAATTCCAGTATGAAAATTGTTAATAATAACTGTCTTGCTAGGGTTTATCACAAATACATCTGCTCAAAACTTCATTTTTACATGCAACCACAAGAGTTCAAAAATGTTTAGAAGGGAACCACCAATTAATAAAACTGTATAAACAGAAGATTAGAATAAAATGAAACCACTGCTCTACTATTATACATGTTACATTTTCTCTGTTTTTAAGTCAGGGTGACAATATCCCACTGAATAAACATATGTTATGTGTTCACCCAGACTCTCATCCAAGAGTTTATTGGAATGATTACTCATAAACATTAAAGTAAACACAGGCAGATAGATATGTCTATCAAATGTACAAGCCTAAACCATAGAATATATAGTTAGGTAATACTACTATAATCAAAATACACCTGAAGCTTTAAGATGTGATATATAAACTACTATGCATGAATTAGACACTACCACTTAGTTTTCTGTGAAAAAAAGGTGTCCAGGATGAAATATAATAAAACCCTTATTTATATGAATATATATATTACTATATGAATGATGTGTTAGGTTTAAACAAGTTCTGAAAAAAATGAGAAGTAAGAATGTCTGAATTGACAATAGTAATATTTTTGAAAACTAGTCACGTAGCTTTTAGATGTTGTAATGCCATTGGTATTATAATGACTTCAACAACACATAGCATTCCACGCATTTATTAAATTTGCTATTGTAAAAGTATTTTAAAAACATTTTTTTCTTTGACTATTAGTTATTATTTGTTTTTGTTAAAAAATAGATAAAATTTATTCATTATTATTATTTTTTGGTAGTGGTAAAGAATTCATGAAGAAATAAGAGAAAGTTCTGGTGATCACTGACCATGAATGCCTATGAGGGAACTTGCTACGCTGACAAAAGCTCAACATATTAAGAACAATATGCTAAAATTTTGTGGGCATTATACCCTAAAACCAGACATGATATAATGTCCTCAACACCTGTTAAGAATGTCCAATACTGGCATTCAGTTGACCCTAGACACAATTGCCTAGTCAACTTGTGAGATAGCAAATTCTTTTTTTTTTATAATTATGGTTGTGTTTATCATTCATTTATTATTTCCTTCTATTGTTTAGTTTATCTATGAAATTTTAGCTGCATTAAAACCCTAACTCACCTTCTACATAATTATTTGTATTTGAGTAAGAATATATATGTGTATGATGAAACTGACATCAGCTTCCCTAGCAGTGACGTACAGAAGACTCTCGTGACGTACTCTGTGAATAAATACCCTGCCAGAAGTTTCACTGAGATAAAGAGAGAATCATGAAATAGTTATTGCTCTTTGTCACTCAATATTGTTATTGATATTGAAAGGTCTTGTTCGAATATTGTATTTGCTGTATTTAATTTTCGGAGTTAGTTATTTTTTCTGGATTCCATTATTCTGGATTTATTAATATTTATACTAAATGTTTATTAATATTTTTGTGAAGTTCTGGCCAGGCTTTTGTTTATTAACTGTGTTGAAGTTATTTCTAAGTGTTTTTATTGTGAATAAATTATGTTTTTGTTGTTGAACCCTGATTGTAGTGGCATGTTCATTTATTCACAATAGCATATAAAATATGCTTATGGTACTAAAATGTACACTTATAAATACTGCAAACATACACAAGTTGTGGCAAAAGTAATACCCCATGTGTTGAAGTATATCATGCACCTTAATGTCACAAATGATCCTGGTAACGTCTTTCCATTGAATCTAAAGTCATTGCTATCACAGCAACCCCTTTCAGTCTTCTACACCTAAAACAGTCAATAAATAAGTTATTTCACATAAAACACTATTTTAACCAGAAAGTTGACAACTGGTTGTGTTGCTACATAAGTTATTCTCATGTCATCCAAGTTCTTAGTTTTAGGGGTCTTATTTTTCTCACTACTCTAAATGGAGGATGAGATAAGCAGTTTTTAGGTGTTTTATCATTTCACCCCTTGTGTTCTGATGCTGAACATTATTTATCAACATGACAGCATACTGGAGTCCACTTGTTCTTAGTCACTGACCAAGGCTTCTCAGCAGCGAGATTACAAAAGCTGTTGATGTAGGAGCCAATAGGTGCAAGAGCCTCAAACTAAACCCTGTGGTAAACATTGGAGCTTTGGTCACAATCACAAATACTGGATCAGCAACTGCAGAGTTTGGATAAAAAGATTCATCATCATGATCATTTGAGTTTCTTCCAGACTGATTATCATAACTGATGAAAAACAGAAGAAGACTTTCTGCTGTCTCATCCTGAATATACCTATTACTTTAGTGGAAAATTTGGACTTCCATTTTAGAAAATGTGGGTATCTAAGGTATCTGCATTCATTGAATGCCATTGTCAAGTGTATGGCATGGTTGGGGTCTGTACATGCAGGTGTCTCAGAGACTGGTCTGAAATTTGTAACTAAGACAGCAAATATTTTCAGCATGTATTAAGATTTCAAATAGATTTGTATTACTCAAAATTGTTTTATTGAAGTTCATGAAATAGTTGTAATAATAAATAATGATTCCGTATATTATAAGATATAATGACATATATTACTTAGTAAAACTGTTTCTTAGCCATGTCAGTCAATCTGTCTGACTCTGGTAGTGTCTGTACACCTGACTTACATTTTAAAGTTCTAGTAGCTCACCTGATACTGGTACTGTTCTTGTAGATTAGAAATCTGGTTATGAGTATCTTGGAGTTGAGAATCCTTTTCTTTCAGTTTTTCCAAGAGCTGATAAACAAAAAGATAAAACATGTACTTCACCAATATAATTTCTTTATAAAAGTAATACAAACAGTTTTATATTATATGTATCATTTAAACATGGTCTAAGTGCTTGGATGTTGAAGTAGACTATAATTCCATAAACATTCATCAAGAAACTTGAAACTAACTCCTATATAAGTATTGAAAATGTGTAGCTGAAGTCTAATTTACAATAAAATCAACTTAAATCTCATTTTGATGATTCTTTTATGAAGTTCTTGATATTACTATCATACTTCAATTTATACATAATTTTCAATGTTGAAATTACTATCAAACCTACAGTTTACTGTTTATCTATTTGTGTAAGCTAAAAGCGTAAAATCCAACATTTGAACAGTCAAGTGTGATGGTAAACTTACGATGATTGTATAGTTTTGTTTTCATTTTCAACCAAAAACCCACTGTGAAAGAAGCTGTTGTGATCATCACTTGAAAATGGGACGTAAGCTTCTCTCCACGAGCATCTTTTACTACGCACCTCAAGGTTTTAAGTGAGTCATATCTAAAATTTAATTAAACTATTTTTTTGTTCCAGTTATACCAATTAGTATAGCATAAAATCATAGCTAATAATCCATATTTTAATAGTATATTGTTTTAAGTTCTTAATTTTATAAGGAAATATTTTAAAAAATCCTGAATTTCTTCTAGTGTGAGAAATGAGAGATTTTCTCTCTCTAGGCATCCCCCCTTCTCTATTTTATTCACCACCCACCTGACAAGCACAAAATATAATGTAAATTACTCACTATAAAATTGTCATTGCTCTGACAAACACAATTTTAATAGCCTTCAATCTTGTTTGGTTATAGAGCCATCACATAGAAAATCAGACCTCTCTTGCCACATCCACCCTTTCAGGATTTGTCAATAGCTCTTTCTTATGTTTAATAATATATTATTTATAACCAATCGAAAGCCAAGGTTTTCATGTATCAAGTGATATATTATAATATATTGTTTTTTGTACAGAGAATTGTCAATTTCTTTTTCATTACAAGTTTCATTCCCAGAGGAAACACATCGACTAGCTTGGATGAATTTGTGACAGCTCTTATCACATAGTCAGAAAGCCAGAAAAATTGTGAGTTATGAGACATTGTTTGCTTTTCGTATGTTATTATTCTATGTTTTTTTGGTGCATTATTTAATTAAATAAAAATTATTTAGTGAAGTACTACCATTAGTATAAAAAAGTAGGCTTAAATGTTATTGACAATCAACAGCAAAAAATAAAAAAAAAGGGTTGCAGCCCAGTTAAGTAATTTCTTGTTTTTCATGTGTGTTCTTTATTTATTATTATAAAAGTACCCAAAATATAAAAATATGAAACTCTTTAGGTTAGTTAAGGTCAGATTAGGTAAAATAAATAATAATACAATAAAAATTGTTCATGAGGCATGCATGTGAGCAGCTTGTGGGTAATATAATTCGATAGCATAATAGTTGAATGTGAGTTAAAACTTGTAACAGCACGAATAGTAGTTAGAGATGGTTCAAAGGGCAATAAAACAATAAAATTTAAGTATAAATATATGTATGCTGTTATGAGTTTAAAGCTAGTTAAGATAAACAAATGTAGTTTCATGTTATCATTTGAAATCATTCTAGAAAGAAAAAAAAAGTCAATTTAGATTTAGATTTTCTGGCAGTTACAAGGTCAGTCAAATTGATCAACTTTGTTCAGAGTTAGGGTACAGAAAATAACAGATAAAATATACTGAAAAAAATTTGAGAAATGTATTTAGAAGGTTTTAGAGATTATGCAAATGAAATTTGAGATTTTAGAAGAAGAAAAGTATTTTTAATCTTAACATGAAAGTCACTTTGCAATCAGAGCATTTATGATGAAACAAAAAGTATACTATGAGAATTATAAAAGTCAATTTGGGGTCACGAACTCAGCCGAATGAACAAAATTTAACATTTCTAGTGTTTGACCAGATAAGTGTGATGTTGAACAATTTTAGTGTTCTGTTCACTGTCAAATTAAATGATGTATGTGAAAATAAATATTTTGATACACAATTTCAAAATGGGGATTAATGTTGACCAGACAGCAAAACAGTTATTAGAGATAAATTATTTTTACTGTTGTAATAAATTTATAAAAAACAAAAATCACCAAGAAATCTACACATTTAGTTTCCTACATTTTATGAACATAGTTCAACAATGCTAAAGGTATATCAATGTATTGAACACATCTATTCAATATAAAGTGTGTTTCTTTCCAAACAAGAAATATGTATAATCATCTGAATTTAAAACTAACATCCTTTGAACATTTATCACATCCTCAACATACCCAAATAACCTGCAAACCAACATTTTATTATTTCATGTCACATACCTTTTCCATTTGCTGTTGTAGTTCAACTGTTTCTTTTTCCTTGAGATGCAACTCATTTTGTAGTTGCTCCTTTTGCTGAATGAATATCTTTTCTAATTCATGCTTTTCACCAATGGAATTTTCTGTATCTCTCTGCATCTAAAAATAGGATACATTTCTTAGACAATTCCAGGTATTGTTTTATTGCAAATGGCATATAACCTTATGGTATACATTTATAATGAAAATCAAGTTAAATCAAATTCTTGTACATCTTAAGCATAGTTTATTAATATAATAAAAACTCCAATTAGCATTTCAAAGTTACAACTTTTTTAGATTTTACTTTATATACCACTTTATATAACAATAACATGTGCTATTAATGCAGTATTGGTTAGCTAAGCTTTGACAAATAAGTTAGTAGTACTTTATAGTGGATCACAATGCACATTTATGTTACATAAATTATTCATACTGTAAGAACATTACAATAGGTAATAACAGTAATCTGTGATATTTCATTAGAATAGAAAACCATGATTGATATCATACTGAAGCACTGAAAATTCCTGTGTCCAGAATCTTTCAAGCACCTAGCAACACCTCTGACTGTAACTTTTATCTTGTTTTGTATGTTTTCAAGAAATTTAGCAAGCTTTAAGTAAATATTACATGACTTTTGTACACAAAAAACAACAACAGATTTTTTAAACGTTTTTTAACTAAAGATTTGTTCAAGAATATATGAAGTCAGATTGTTCGCTGTTGTGAGTGCAAAGTGATTTTCGTGCTAAAATCAAAAATATTTTTCTTCATCTGAAAATTTTAAAATTTCATTTGTATAACCTATAATACCTCCTAAATAAATAACAAACTTTATATTTTATGTTATTTTCTCTACCCTAACTCTAAATGAAATCAGTGATTTCACCACACTTGTAACCATCATAAAAATTTTTAAATAAATGTAAATTCCCCTTTTTTTCGTTCTAGAATGATTGCAGATTATAACTGAAAATTACAATTGTTTTTCCTAAATGGCTTAATGTTCATAACAGTCTGCCTCTGTTTATACTTAATTTTATTGTTTTTATTGCCCTTTGAACTGTATCTAGCTAATAATCCTGCCACACAAGTTTTAAATCACGTAATGCATAAGCTCATGAACATACCTTGTGAAGAATTTTTATTTTTATTGTTTTTTTCATTATCTTACCTAATATAACCTAATAAGTTTTTAATTTTTACATATTTGTTACATTTATAATAATAAAGAAAAAATACAAATATAGTGCTCACCTGAGTTTTCATTTTTTATTGTGTTGACTGTCAATGAAACTTTTTTTTATACTAATGGTACTAATATATTAAATAATTTTTCATTTAATTAAATACTGCACCTAAAAAACAGAATAATAACGTGCAAAAAGCAAACAGTGTCCTATCACTATCATAATTTTTCTGGCTTTTTAACTTTGCAATAAGAGCCTTTAAAAATTCAGCTAAGCTCACTGATGTGATTCCTGTGAAAATATATTTGAAACTGAAGGACAAAACAGAGAGTGAAATGTACAGAAAACAGCATAATACAATATGTCATTTGATAGATTTAAACTCTGGCTTTCTATTGGTCATACATAACATAGTATAAAACATCAAAAAGAACTATTAGGAATTTGTGAAAGATGGGATGTGATGGGTGGGCATGGCAAGTGGGTCTGATTTTCTAGTTGATGATGTTGAGAAACAAGATTGAAGGGTACAGAAATATTCTTTGCCTGAGTAATATCTATATTACTATAATAACTTATATCTAAATTTCATACTTCTCAGAAGGATGATAAATTAGAAAAGAGGGAAAGCATAGAGAACAAATGCCGCAATTATCATACCAAGGAGTTTAAGGATTTTTTTAATATTTCCTTATAAAATCAAGAACTCAAAACTTATATAATTTTAAAATTTGGTTTATTAACTATATTTTTATGCCAAGTTTGTTTGTACATTGATAACAAAGTAGTTTAATTAAATTTTGAATGCAACTGTGTAAAAGGTCATGACATGTGCATTTTGACCTACCTGTTGCAAAAGGTTAAACAGCAAGTTTCATATTAACTCTTATCAGATCTGGGTGCATTGACTTAATGAACCTGAAGTATGGTTCTTTTTACTGCACTGTGAACAAAATACTGGATAAAATAGTTTCAAACTTCAGAAGAACTTTGTACAGATTATTTAGCTTCTGTAAATAAAATATCTTATTCTTTTATGGGATATTTGTATGAGTTTACAGCTTTGATATTTCAAAAAGATTTCATTGCGATACTTTTTTCTAAGAAACAATCAAAAATGCTACCTTTGTTGTAGATTTAATTACTGATTTGTATGTGTTCTGACATCCTTTTAACTTTCAAATAGTTTCAATTTTATTAATCTGTAATTTTTTCTTTCTTTAAGATGTGAAAAACACTACATGGAGTTTCACTGTATTTGTGATCACTATCATATAATAGAAATATTTTTTTCCATACCAAAATTATATGAAAGACACTTTTTTGTTTGACTGTTAATCAGAAGGTTTCATTCCATATATGTAATAATCCCATACAAGCTGTTACTTAGGCTGATAAGCCCTAATTTAAAGAAGACCTAACAAATTGGCCTTATTGGCAAAATGAAACTT